CAGCGAGGTGCGGGGACTAAATGCTTCATCCAGCCAAACCCAGTGGGAATACGTTGGAGCTCCAACATTGTTTTGCTGACAGAGGAAGATGTCATCACAGCAGAATATGAAGGAGTTAACACATTATGAAACACAGTTTTGGCAGGGATGCAGACAAAGATTGTTTTGTTTGAAATGCAGTACCAGCAGTGTTGGTTAACAAGGTAATGCAGTCACCTAGCCAGTCCCAGTCATTACATTGTGCTTTATGTTTCTAAAGTGTTAGGTCCAAATCCTATGAAACAAGCTACTTAACTTTAAGCCCATAGATAGTTTTTTTCTTCAAATTAAAGCTTAGTTTAATGGATATGCCTGGATAACGGCTGGTTGAAATAGCAAGTGGAAGTGCTAAAGGAAGCCCACCTTGCACAGGAAGAGAAACGACAAGGTGCTGGTGTGGTTTGAAGTAAAAAAGGATAAAAATACAGGAAATTATTTTTTTAAACCTCTTGCCAGTCCTATTCCTTTGCAGGGTGAGGAGAAGTAAGGAGGGCTGTCCAATGCCTGCTTACACACACTGCTGAGGGCTCAGTGCACAAAATTGCACAACCAATTTCAAAATGACTTTTAGCTAGTCCAGGCACTCCAGCTGTCCTTCCAAAAATAAAAGGCAAAATTTTCAACATCACAGAGGACTAATAAACCACCTACGCACCTGCATCCACCGAGATCAAGAAAGCGCAGGATCCCTTACGACTCAGAAAGTCTAGCCACGTATTTACTGCTGATCCCTGACTTTTGTAATCGGGGTTGGAACATGTCAGCTGAAAGATTTGCTGAAAGAGATGCAGCTCTTCTATAATCGGGACTCAATTAGCTACGTGCCTTTTCAGCTGAAGATCTGGCCCCGTGGGCCCAATTCTTTACAACACTTTTGCATAAGCCTGGGAGATGGCCCTTCTCACCAGCATTGCTGAAAATGGACTTCTGTATTCAAGTAGGCAGCTGATTCTCCCAGATTTTGCACCATGCTTGTGCTCTCATTAAAGTACATGATAAAGTTAGCAAGCAAAAGCTATACTCTTCTGCAAGATCCTTGGCCATAAAAATCCTTTCTGAGCCCTCTATTTTGCAGTGACTAGCAGTGAGGGCCTTGCTTTGAAAATATGAATCTAAGTCAACGATTAGTCCACATTTCAAATATTAAAGCAGATTCTCAGTATGTCATTGGAACAAGTAGGGCTGTTCCAGTCTAGAGCAATTGAGGGTCTGCATCTAAAAAAGGAGCTATGAACTCTAATTAGATATAAAGAAATAGGGAGCTACTTTTTTCATACCTCCATGCTGTCTTGTCTGTTGGTGTCATGACACTCAAATAGGTAGTAACTGGAATGAAGCCCAGTAGCCAATTTATACTTAACATACCATTAGTTCTTACTAATTCCTGTGGTACATTTTAACTTTAAGCGCTTACAAAAATGCTTAGGAAAATCATCCATCCCGTGCTTCAGTTCCTCACAAGCATCCCTGCTTCATTGTTTGTTCCTGGATATGTCTTTTAGCATCACTGCTTTGGTAACTTTCCATTTTAGGACAGTATTATAAATGATTGAGATGTGTTAAAGTTCAGAGGACCTTGTCATTTTCATGCTTTGTCACTTTCCCTCTATCAAGTATAGCATCTTGACATCAAATAGTTCTCCTGAGATCACGATGAAGTTCCCAAAGTAAGGTGAAACCCGGCACAGAGAAGGCTGGCAGCATTGGCTATTTTCATTTTAAGAATGTACAATAATGTATGTGCATATCTAGGAATATAGAGGGAAAAAAATCCCGTCTATTGCACGTTAAATTGTGATTTTAATGGTGAAGACACAAGGCATCCCTTAGCTACCAAATCACCCATTTTTGTATATTTTATCTTTAATAGGATTTCTGATACTATCACAAAGCTGTGGTCTTCATTCTTTGCCAAAGGGATCTCAAAACACTGGAACTAGTGAAAATATTTCTGTATATCATACTGGCCTGCTAAATATTCAGCTAATTTAAAAAAATAGTAATAATTCCTGTGATTAGCAGCTGCAGCATATCATGTCCAGATTCCTCTTTTTACTGTAAGCGTAGGATACCTGTGCAAACAAAAGCAAAATTTGGCCTGGGATATAAGCTTCTGCTTATACCTCTGTATTATTTATTTCCTGTTCTTGGGCTGAGTGAAACTGAAGTGAAATAAATATCAAAAGATTTTAAAGAAGAAAAAAAAAAACACATCCAAGGCAGATTTCCTGACAGCAGAACAAGTATCATTTTGAGTGGCAATGCACTGACAATAACTTTTGGCTTTGGTCCACATCAATCTGGAGGCCCGGCTACACAAGCCAAGCTGGCTCGGGATCACTTCTAAACAGGCAGTTATCACCTTTGGTGATATTCCAGAGGTCCAAGTCAGGACTAAGCCCTTTGCACAGGTGCGACACGCTCACCCGGCATAACCCTGCCTCCGCCGTTGTCCATGGCAAAAGTCCCTCTGACTTCTCTGGCGTTAGAAGTCTGGCTGACCTCCCCAAATGTTCATGCTCCCTGCCTTTCCCCCTCTTTCCCACTTCATTCTGGTTTTCTGCGTGTTGTGAAGTCTTAAGGATTTTAATGCAATTTGTCTTTTCCTCTTCCATTTGTCAACCTTTCCTTACTTTACAGACTGGTTCTGAACCATCCCCTCAAGGACGAGTGGAGGAAACTCCCGTGAGCAATGAGAGGGGTGACGAGCCGGCTCGTCATGTCTTCTCCTTCTCCTGGTTGAACTCACTGAATGAATGATGACTCACTCCGGCTGGCTTCTGGTGTGCTTCTCCTCGGAGGGACCGCGAGCGCAGGCAGCCTGGCTGCAATCAACAAAGAAACTGGCCTGGAAAGGGACATCCAAGCAGGTTTCATTCCCAGGAACTCAGTTGACCTCCACATCATACCCAGCCCTTGAGATGACAGAGTCCTAAAAGGGATGGGAGCATGGGGACAAATTGCTATACTGTATCGTAGTCAGAGTGTTTTCCAATAATTTCTTGTTTCCAAGGGGAAAATAGCATCACTACAGCTGTAGGCTGAGCACCGCTAATGTTTTGTTATTCACTTTTTGGCGTGTCCCTGTGTAGGTATAAATGCTTCACCAATGTTGTTAGCTAAAATGCTGGTAAGATATTCACTAGAAGCATCCTCTGCCAAGACAGTGTTTCTCCTCAGTACCCTCCTGCGTCCCAGCTCGTCGGTGCTGGTGACTTCGGTGACACTATCGTGCCCTTGGCACCCCCAAGTCGGGGCTGTGTCTGAGCACCTCCCTGCAGCCACTCCTGGTCCCCATGGTACCAGTGCCTCCCCGGCTGCAGAGGCTGAACGCGGGAGGGGAGAGGGAAGCTGCCATCCCTTCCTTTGCACTCGCCCTTCCTGCTAAGCCACAACAACAGGTTATTCGTAGGGAAGGTGCCCAGCAGCCGGGAGGAGGAAGATGCACACGCCAAAAGCACTGGCCACCCCCTGCATATGGATGCGAGACGCAGCTCTGAGCGTGTGGGGCAGATGCTAGAGCGCTGCCCGCCTCTGTCCAGCCATAATCTGTGTCTACGTCTTCTCAGTCACCCGTGCGTGTAGGAAAAGGGGCATGTTCTTGCATGAAACCAGGATGCAGTGAGGTGGTCACCAATAATAATTCAAGGTTTAATTTGAAGGCCCTGTGGTGTGCTATAGAAAAGGCAAATGACGAATGTCCTCTTCTGTGTGCATGGCAGATGTGGAGCTGTCTAATGAAATCAAATTTGTGTCTTAAAAGAAGCTCTGCAAGATGTACCGAAGGTGACACACTGCAAGTTTTGTCACTGGGGACAGGGTGTCAGCACTCAGTAGTGTTTAAGAGAGATTGGTGGGTTGCCGGCAGTGCTCGGTGCCATGGGAGACCAGGTGTCAAGCTCCGCGCTAGGGTTAAGTGTGGATCTCTCCAGGATCCCAGAGCCAGGCCCTAAGCACACCGTTTCGGCAGGGGACCGTGCCAGGCCATGGGGCTGTGCCGCGCGCCAGCAGGACGGGGGACGGGGGAGCAAGCAGTGCAGACGCAGCGCAGCGCCCGGTTAGCAGGCTGCGAGGGGTCAGCCCCGCTCCTGGCCAGCCCTCGCTGCAGGGCTGAGTCACATCAACCCTCATTTGTCTCCGTTTCCCCTGGAAAACACTCCTGCGGGAGAAGTTTTGGAGGGCTGCATAGATGAGGTCTGGACAAAGCTTTGAGACTCAGCCCAGAGCGAGCGCCGCTCCGCACCAGTACCACCACCGCATTGCCTCTGGCTGCTGGAGCAGCTTTTCCCTGGGATGTGGTTTGGGGTGAGGGATTTCCTATTTTCTCCCGCTCACCCTGGAGGATTTCCCCCCAGTTCCTCCCGGGAAGTTTCTCCACAGGCACCACCAGCCACCTCCCCAGCGCCCCTGGGAGGGACCCGGCTTGGGCACCGCCGCCGGGCCGGGGGCAGCCAAAGCGGGGAGGACCCTGCCCTTTTTGGGGTGTGGGGAGGACGAGCAGAGCCAGAACGAAAAGACAAAAGAGGTCGGGGCACGGCTCCGGGAGAGCCTGCAGGGACGGGGAGGGGGCGTCCCCGGGGCCAGGAGGGGAAAAAGATGGGGCAGGGAGGGGAAAAACATCCCCTGGGGTGATTTAGGGGTCCCAGCGGCTCTGGGTGTCCGCAGCCGGGGGTGCCCACCCCCCCCGCCCCGGTAGCGCTGAGGGAGGGGGAGCAGCCCTCAGGCAGCTGGGAAAGAAAGTCTATCCAGCCATGGTTACTTTGCAGCTTTTATTAAAAATATAAATATTAAACATTCTCTTACACAACAAAATCGACCGAGCGCTGAAAAGATGTTTTATTGTGAAAATGTTTACAGGAAAAAAGTGGCTTTAAAGTAGCTTACAGAGATTCCCCCTCCCACCTCCCTGCCCCCAGCAGAAAAGTTACCTGTCAAGAAAGTCTATCCAGCCATGGTTACTTTGCAGCTTTTATTAAAAATATAAATATTAAACATTCTCTTACACAACAAAATCGACCGAGCGCTGAAAAGATGTTTTATTGTGAAAATGTTTACAGGAAAAAAGTGGCTTTAAAGTAGCTTACAGAGATTCCCCCTCCCACCTCCCTGCCCCCAGCAGAAAAGTTACCTGTCTTCTTGGCACCATTGCTTCCAATGCTCACAGATCCCTACGTAGCGATGGCACTAGAATAACTGGGAAATGGAGAAATAAATAAAGGTAGGGGAAGTTACGGACGACACTCGTGTTTCTGCACTTGGTACACGGTTGTGCATGCTAGTCAAGGGACAGAGGCTGTTCGGAGCACACCCTTCTAGGTTTAAAGCTATATAAAAATAAAGAGATGACATCAGAGCAGCACTATGGTACATCGGACGGTGTAATTATTCTTGTGCTAATTGCGGAATCTCTTTGGCAAGGCGGGGAGGGGCCGCTTCACTTCCCGATTATCTCCATCAGTTTCCTGTTGCTGTGAGCTTGCTGCGCCAACTGCTCGGCTCGGGCCATCTCCAAGACTTCTCGCAGGAGGTGGAAAGTCAGATCCAGGGAAATAGGGGGCTCCTCGGACCGCTTCTCCCTCTCCACGGCCTCGCCCTCGGCCTCGCCCTCCGCGGGGCTCCCCGGCGAGCGCTCGGGCAGCTGCTCCAGCTGTTGCACCGCCGCCCGGACAAAGTTGCTGGCGGAGGCTGCGGGCTGTAGGTGGCTGGTGCTGCCGGAGGAGGCGGAGAAAGAGCCAGCGGGTCTCTTGTTGAGGTTGCCCAGGCGCAGGAAATACTCTTCTCCCATGCGGAGCAGGACGGGCAGAGTTTGCTGCTGCTGCTGCTGCTGCTGCTGCTGCTGCTGCCAGAAATCCGGCGGGGGCGCAGACCCCCGGGGGG